ATTTGGCTTTTAACAGCCTTCACAACCTGACCTTAATGTGATTTTCCATACTCATTTCATATTATTCCCCTTGCCACAATTCTATAATCAAAACTGACTTTATCTGTTCCTCACACACAACACCTTATGTCCCATGACTTTTGTCTATTGACTTTGCAATGGCCATTCTCCATTCTCCCTTTTTACTGATTCATAGACTCCTTCTCTTCCTTCAAGACACAGGCCAAACATCATTCTTTCTATGAAGCCTTTCCTAATCTCCCCAACTGCTGGTGTAGAGTGGATTGAATGCTGCGTCTTGAGTCAGGAAGACTTGAGTTCAAATCCAAGCTCAGACCATTACTCTCTGTGTGATCCTGGACAATTCACTTAAGCTTTTCCTTCCTTGGTTTCCTCTACTGTCAAATGAAGGTGATATTCCCAATTGACAAATGGTCAAAGGCTATGAATAGGCAGCTTTCAGATGAAGAAATTAAAGCTATCTATAACCAAATGAAAAAAAATGCTCTAAATCACGACTGATTAGAGAAATGCAAATGAAAACAACTCTGAGCCGCCACCTCACACCTATGATATTAGATTGGCTAATATGATAGAAAAGGAAAATAATAAATGCTGGAGAAGACGGAAAAATTGAATACCAATGCATTGTTGGGGGAGTTGTTGATTAATCCAACAATTCTGGAGAGCAATTTGGAACTAGGCCCAAAGGGCTATAAAACTGTGTATACTCTTTGATCCTGCAATATCACTACGAAGTCTGTATCCCAAAGAGAACATAAAAAAGGGAAAAAGACACACACACACAAAAATATTTATAGCAGCTCTTTTTGTGGTGGCCAAGAATTTGAAATTGAGGGGATGACCATCAATTGGGGAATGGCTGAACAAGTTTTAGTATATGAATGTAATGGAATACTACTGTGCTACAAGAAATGATGAGCAGACAGATTTCAGAATAACCTGGACTTACATGAACTGATGCTGAGTGAAGTGAGCAGAACCAGGAGAACATTGTAACGTAGCAACAGTAACATTATGCAACAACTGACTTTGTTAGACTTAGTTCTTCTCAGCAATACAATGATCCAAGGCAACTGCAAAAGACTCATGATGGAAAATGCTAACCATATCCACTGAAAGAAGTATGGTCTGAATGCTGATTGAACTATACTATTTTCACTTTTTTGTTGATTTTGTTATTTTCTTTCTCGTAGTTTTTCTCTTTTGTTCTGATTCTTCTTTCACAACATGACTAATGTGGAAATATGTTTAGCATGATTTTACAAGTATAATCTATATCAGAATGCTTGTTATCTTGGGGAGGGAGGAGGGAAGGGAGGGAAGAACAAAAATTTGGAATTCAAAGGTTTACAAAAATGAATGCTGTAAACTATTTTTACATGCAGTTGGGGAAAATATAAAATACTACTAAGAAAAAAAGAAAAGAAAATTATATCCACATCCAGAAAAAGAACTGATGAATAAGAACTGATGAAAATTAAATCCACATCCAGGAAATGAACAGATCAAAGTATACCATTTTGACTTTCTTTGTTTTTTTTTCCTTTTGTTTTGCTTCTTATTTCACAACATGACTAATGTGGAAATACGTTTCACAAGATTGGTCATGTATAACCTATATTACATTGCTTGCTGTCTTGGGGAGGGAGGGAGAAAAATTTGAAACTCAAAAATTTTATAAAAAATGAATGTTGAAAACTATCTTTACATGTAATTGGAAAAAAATAAAATCTTATTTACATTAAAAAATTAAATGGAGATAATAAAACAGTGCCGACCATCCCAGTTGGGATGATCAAATGAGATAATATTTGTAAAAAGCTTAGTACTGTGCATGGTAGATAGTAAGTGCTTAATAAATATTTCTTCCTTCCCCCTTTCCCTTCTCCTCCTTAATTACCTTGTATTTACTTAATATCTAATCTATATATACCTATAAACATACATGTTTTCTCCCCCTTTAGAATACAAGCTCCTCAATAATATTTTTCTTTTTTATTAATTTATTTTTAGTTTCCAACAACCACTTCCATAAGCTTTTGAGTTTTAAAATTTCTCCCCTTCCCTTCCCACCTCCCACTGCAAGACAGTGTGCAATCTGATGTAGGCTCTACATATATTCCTATGAAACATATTTTCATATTAGTCATGTTGTAAAGAAGAATTAGAACCAATAGGAGGAACCACAAGAAAGAAGAAACAAAACAAAACAGAAGGAAAAAAAAAAGAGCAAATAGCATGCTTCGATCTGCATTCAAACTCCAAAGTTCTTTCTCTGGATGTGGATAGCATTTTCCATCATGATACTTTTAGAGATGTCTTAGATCATTGCATTGCTGACAAGGGCTAAGTCTATCAAAATTAGTCATTGCACAACATGGGTGTTATTGCGTACAACGTTCTCCTGGTTCTACTCCCTTCACTCAGCATCAGTCCATACAAGCCCCTTAATATTATTATTATTTTTTTTAATATTTTTCTGTTTTTTTCAAGTATATATCCCCAGCTTCCATATAGTGCACAGCACATAATAGGTGCCTGAAAAAAGTATCTTCATTGTTTGCAACAGCAAGTTAAGAGAGAAATATACATGCATACTAATCACAGTCCAAAGTGATGGCTAACATGTTGATATGAAGGAAGAAGACCATACCCCTTCATCTTCCCTACTCCCTAAATGATGTGGAACAAGGAAGGCACAAAAACTTGAGACCGTCTCACCTAGGTCAAGAAGTCTCAAGAACTGTTGAGTACAACTTTGTACTATAGCACAATATAATGTTCATAAGGATGACCATGGGTGAGTAAGAAAAAATAATAATATCAATAATATGATAATAATAATAATAATAGCTAATGCTTATATAGATCTTACTATGTACCAGGCACTGTACTAAGTGCTTTATTATGTCATTTGGTCCTAACAACAACCTTGGAAGATAGGTACTACTATTATGATTCCTATTTTAAAGTTGAGGAAACTGAGGCAAGCAAATGTCACTTGCCCAGGAATACAAAGTTAGCGCGACACTGGACTCATAGAGCTGAGGACTAATTTGAATCCAGTTTTCCTGATTCCAGGCCTGGCACTCTATCCACTGTGCCCCCAACTGCCCCAATTTATGTTCAATACATTCTTTTAATAAAGCAAGCTGTTGTAATATATTTCAGGAAAAAGATGTAAACCAAAAATAAGAACAAAGTTTTCACACTTCAAGAAGTAAGTTCTACTTATTGAGAAAATTCAAGTTTGGGAAATAAAAACCTCCTTCCATAACGCTAGTGGAGAAAATCATAAGTTATTGTGATTTCTGATGACATATGAAGATAATACTACCAAATGATACAATAGAAAACCTAGAGTTCTTATTTTGCATCTGACATGAGAAAACAAAACTGACAACTTTCATTTGATAAATACCTTCACATATACATATTTTAACATCGAGTAACTTTTATATCCAAAGAGTGTCAAGAGCCTCAATGCTCTGGATTAATGTCTTACGTAAATGCTAAATGCTCAAACTGATAGCATTTCAATCATACAGGCTTAAAGTTGACTTTCAACTGAAACATGGATTCTGTTTCCCTTTTGCAATTTTCTGTTCCTCATAATGGAACTGACATTCCATCAAGATCCTATCTTTCACTGAGGAGCTTTGCTTGATCCTAGTGTAACTTATAACATTAATGATTGTTTAAAGCTGAAGTTCTTACCCTGGGGTCCATGGACCCCCATGGATGCATGGATAGATTCTACGAGGACAAGGAATGTGGGTGGGAAAAATGCATATTTATCTCCACTAACCATTAACTGAAATTTACCATTTCCTTCAATTATGACTTAAAAAAAAAGGAGTCTGAAAGGGTGTCCATAAGTTTCACTAGATGGCCAAAGGAGTCCAACACACACACAACACACACACACACACACACACAGAGACATACACACACACACACACACTCGATGTCAAGAACCTCTGTTTTAAAGTGATGAGGCTTTCGGCCTAGGCGTTCTCTGCCAAGTGGGAGCAGGACAAGAAAGGGTAGGAAAAATAGAAGAAATTGGGGATCATGCCTCCTGTTTATTTTAAACATCTTACTTGTTCATTCAAGTATGTGAAACCCTGAGCATATTTATGGAACATTTATGTAAAACATTAACAATGAGAATAAACAATTGAACCACTTGAAGGAAAAAAAAGGTAATATATCTCTGGTGTCAGGGAATCTGGGTTCAAATCCTCCAAACACTTACGACCTGTCTGAACTTCCCTTTTGACTCTTTGGGTCAATTGTTAAGGGGAAATGGTATTTTCAACTATTTAGGGAATTATTAATAATACTGTTAATTAATTGTAATAGAGTAATGAATAATAACTATGAATTATTAAGGAAAGTGATGTCCAGATCTGTGATCACTTTATTATTATTATTATTTTTTTTTTAGGCAATTGGGGTTAAGTGACTTGCCGAGGGTCACACAGCTACTAGTAAGCATCAAGTGTGTGGTCTGAAGCCGGATTTGAACTCAGGTCCTCCTGACTTCAGGGCAAGTGCCCTATCCACTGTGCCACCTAGCCACCCCATGATCACGTTAATAACAGTAGAAAGGGATCTCAGGGGCAGGGGCTGATTTGCTTTCCCAAGTAAGTCATTTATCTGGGCCTTCTTTTCTTCATCTATAAAATAAGGTTGTTAGACAAGACGGCCTGTGAAGCCTGTTCCTCTCAGCTCATGGTTTTATGACCCTCTATGATTTTAAATATGCCATCTATATTTCAGTATTTGTAAGACTTGATGGAAATTTCTACTTGAAGATTTAAACTACCAAAAACCAAACCTGTAATTACAGTAAGAAATGGACCCTTTATCGCAAGGGTCCTTAAGCTAACATTTGGACAGCAATTAAACATCTTCTCAGTGTGACAGAAATTCATGTAGTCAGAGAGGTTTATCCTAGAAACAGTGTATACCTTAGGTAATCCAGTTGTTCCTGATGTGTAGAGAATATAAAGTGGATGTTCTGAGAGAACAGGGACACAATCATGGGACTGGGCTTTTGCCATCTCTTCATCCCAATCGAGATCACGACCTGGAGCCAGAGGTACAGCTTCCTATGGATTAAAAAAAGAAGAAAAAGAAGAAATGCAAGAGTTTTCATTGGAAAAAAAATCACAAGGGAAAAGATCAGACAGTAAAAGTTCTTAGATAAATTTAAATATCTGACCTAATATTTTTTAAAGAGGATACAGACTGGACCTGTTATATCACTGGCAAAGGGAACTCCCACATGAAGAAACTCCTGCCAGTCTGGTTAGGTACATTCTCTGCACCTCAGAGCCTTTGAGAGTTACCTGGATCACGGAGAGGTGAAGGGACAGATGGTATGTATCACAGGCAGGATTTCAGCCAAGTTCTTCCTGCCTTTGAGGTCAGCTCTCTATTCACTAAGCTGGGCTGCCCCTCTTAGACTTCCATCTAATTAGTTGAACTAAACTTCAACATGGGACCAACATCATGATTTCAACCTTCACAGGCAAATATACAGAAATTTCCATGCAAACCAGATTATTTCAGGTCAGATGATTACTACCTAAATTATCGTAATTAAGATAATCTATAGGTTTTATCCAATTTCCCCTCATTATCAGTAACCATTTAATTAGGACTTGTGTCTCTAAAAAATAACAAATACTCATAGCTTTATACACTTGGGTTCCTGTTTGTTTGTTTTTTTTAATTTCACTTGGTAGAATGTTTTATGATATTGATCTAACTGCATGGAATCTTCACAATGGGAAGACAAATGGTTAAAAGATTGGGGAATTGATTGGGGATATTAGAAAGTCGGGTCAGATTTCTTTCTTGCAAATAAAAAATAATAAAGGAACAATCTACCCTGGACAAATCCAGGTGCTTCTCAAAGTGCAAATACAAACTGGAAATTGGTAGGCACTCTTGAAAATCTAACAATCCAATTAGTTTTTTTTCTCCCTTTTGCAAAAACATATCTATGGATCTTGGCACAGCACCCCCAACTCCAAACTTCTTAAAAGTAGAGACAGGGAAGTAGGCAGAGATTCTTTTAGTGAGAAAGTGTTAATGATATGAAACTTTGAGCTGTGAAGAGTACTTGGGAAAGATTCTAATGCTGAACTTCAAGTGAGTCAAGTAGAGAAAGTGATGTGTACAACTAGGATCACCTTGGTACAACCTGAAAAGGATCTCAGGGTTAGGAGTTTGCCTCAAATCTCATATTCCTTGAAAGTGAGGATAAGGAAGCAAACCTCTCCTGATCATTTCAGAAGATTGATGAACTTATTAGCAACACAGCCTCGAAACATGGAATTGTCCATATGTTAATATGAGATTCTACCATTTCTATTTTATTTTATTTTATTTTATTTTATTTCTATTTTACACATTACACATGAGAAGAACCTCCACAATGATTCATTTACTCTGAGTGACCTCTGGCACACTGGAAAGTCATTTCAGAGTCAGAGGACTTGGATTCAAATCCCAACTCTGGCACTCACCACCTGTGAGACCTTTCTGTAGTTCAGCCATTTTTCAGTCATGTCCTAATCTTTGTGACCCCATTTGGGGGTTTTCTTGGCAAAGACATTGTAGTGGTTGGCCATTTCCTTCTCCAGCTCACTTTACAGATGAGGAAACAGACGCAAACAGGGTTAAGTGACTTGCCTAGGGTCACACAGCTAATGTGTCTGAGGCTGAATTTAAATTCACAAAGATGAATCTTCCCATCTCCAGGCCCAGTGCTCTATCCTATGTACCACCTACCTGGCACTTGAGACAGTCACTTAATATCCTTGTGCCTCAGTTTCCACAAGTGACTGCTAAATGATGAGGTTGGAAAAGATGATCTCTAAGATCTCTTCCAGTTATATTTATATATATACATATACATACATATATACATATATACATATACATACATACATACGTATATGTGTGTGTGTATATATATATTCGTATATATATACACACACATATATTCATATATGTATATACACATATATTCATATATATATACACACATATATTCATATATACACATATATATTCATATATATACATATATATTCATATATACACACATATATATTCATATATACACATATATATTCATATATATACACATATATGTTCATATATATACACACACATATATATTCATATATACACACATATATATATTCATATATATACACATATATATATATATATGAAACCAATAATTCAGGGGCTCTTAACCTTTTTTTTTTCTTCATGAACTTCTTTTGCAGTCTCATGAAACATCTTTTCAGAATAATGTTTTTAAATGATTGAAGGAAATGCTAAATTTCAGTCAAAGGTTACAGAAAAGAATGATGTAGTTGTTTCCCCTCTAAGTTCACGGCCCCCTGAAATCTATCCATGGAATTCTCCCCCTTCCTTCCTTCCTTCCTTCCATCTTTTCATTACATCTTAAGTTCCAGACTGTCTCCCTCTCTCCCTCCTCACCCCTGCACCAGAGAAGGCCACCATTTGACACAGATTTATAAATATGTGTTAAACCATGCCATGTATACTTCTATTTATCAGTTCTTTCTCTGGAGGTGTATAGTATCTTCCTTCATAGGTCCTTCATAGTTGATCTGAGTATTTATAGTCTTAAGGTACATCTGAGGAACCCATCTCAAGAACCCCTAATCTAAAAGCATTCCTTAAGAGGTATTCCAAGTCCAGAAGCATAAAACATCCTGCTACGTGTGATGCTTATGATTCAATTTGTTGTGGTGACACCATACATGTTACACTAGTATTAAAACATTAACTTCTTTGAATTATAGCCTGAACTCACAAAAAACTATCACACTTCATACCTTTACCATAAAAATGGTAAAGTTTGGTGTTCTTTCTTTGTTTTCTGTAGCGGCTAAAGAATCTATTATAATGAAGTTTTGGATTTAGTAGGAAAAGTCCAAACTTTCAGGACTGAGAAGTAAGTAAGTAAGAGGAAAATGCTTACCACTATCTCATGGAGGTAGAGAAGGGTAAAACCGCCCCAACACCCCACACAGACATACAACCTTAAGGATATAACAAGGCAGTGTGCATATATCACCAAGACCAATTGATCCTAAGAGAACAGAATTGAGGAGACAGGGATGAAAGAAGGACTTGAATGATATTTTAGGCCTACTGCAGATCGAGCAAAATGACTCCTGTTTGAGACCTCTGTATGGCTGCCAAGCTACTTTCTCCTCTGGCTAAAATATAAGCCTGGCTAATGAGAAAAATCACTTCTGAGCGCATTCTTAATACCTGTCACCCCGCTGAGCTCAAAGCAGAAAGGAGAGTTTACTATGGATTTAATTACTATCTGAATCAGCATGGATTTTCCATAAGGGGAAAGACAAGTGATACATGCAATGTTCTCTGAAAATCCCACTCTGTTTTTTGAGGCGGTGTTAGGAATTCCTCTTGTGATGAGAGGAAGCTTTAGCAATGAAGTGTTCATTTCTACACGTGGCGCTTAGGGAAGAAGAGAAAAAAAAATCAGAGTTGCTTATATTTTCTTATTCTCCATCCTTGCCCCCCACATAAATCATTTTGATACTAACTTCATACTTTTTGATTTGAAAATGACCAGAGTTAAAACATCAACAAAAACAAACAAACAAACAAATCAATGTCCTAGGTCCTATGAAACAAACTTAAAATTCATCTTCTGGACAGAAAGAGCAGTAAAATCAGTTGAGTGTAGCAGTTCATGAGCTATGGGATACTAAAATGTCACACAGGATTTTAAAATGGTGATGAAAATTACCAGGTAGCAATCAAATTGACAGTTTTAAAACATTTTACTCTTCTCCCCATCTGGACATTTATTCTGAGCATTCTCAATAGGGGACCTCTCAAGAGTATCACAAAATTGGACATTATATTTGAACCTATATAAGTTTCTCTCGGAAATCACTGAAGTACCTGGATACATATGCTGTAGTTAAGAATCCCAAACTGAGTACATTTTCAATCATAGAAATAAAAATTTACAACATTAAGAGTCAGTTAAGGATTGAGAAAAAATGATTTTTTCTCTTTGCTTAGAAGTGTTTTTTTATATTTTATTTTTATTAATTCAGCTCCTTGTACACTTTTTGAAAAATGTTTTATTATGGGTCTCTTGGATACAGAAAAAAAAATCACACATTTACATAAAATGTATTGGTTTCTAGCCCAAAATTAGTTTTTGGTTGATTTGTTTCATGTCAATGATTTTTTTTATTTATAAAATATGATATAGTAACTAGAATGGATAATTAAATGAAAATATATTCCTAAACATGAAGTCTTTCAGAATTATGTACAGGCTATATAAATTATCAGACTCCTCAGAGCAGTAGTCACATGGAAGTGTTAACACCTGGGCTCTCAAAAGAAATATACAAGAAAACATGGAGAAATTTTGGATTGCATAAATGTAGAACATAAGTGTAACACCTTGAACCTATGCAGAACAGCACCAAGAGTAAGGGCTATCAATAGCACGAAGCTCTCCAAAGAGTGGATTCAGTTATGAACTACTATTTTTTTTAAACAGAAGAGAATTGTAAGGCTAATGTCTACAGAAAGGAAGAACTGTACTAAATCCAATAATGTGAGTTCTTCTTAACTTATTTTACATGAATTCTTTTAGCATTTGTGTTTATTTGCTTTGATTAAAGCCACTGAGAGGCAGTGTGGCACAGTGGAAAGAGGGCTGACCTTAGGATCAGAAGACATGGCTACAAATCTTGCCTGTCATACATACTTCCTCTACAGAACCATGGGCAAGTCACTGAAATGCCCTGTGCTCTGGGCCATGCTTTAAGACCAAGTTAGAAAGACTGCTGATATTCATCAGTGGAAGGAGTTTCTACATTAGAAATTCCCCACACATTTTAATACTGATGAAACTATAGAGCTGAACAACCAAAAAAATTAAATTCTTGGTGCTGATCAGTGAACAACTAGACACATTATTTTTCTACATTTCTGTTTGTACTTTATGGATTTTAGATTAAAACATTTTCAAATGTACTAGTATATGAGATATATATATATATACACATACACACACATGTGTAGGTATATATGTGTATACCTTATATGTATACATACACGTGTGTACTTCTACATGTGTATATAAATACATTCATGTACACACATACATATACATGTGGGCATATATATCTATGTATGTGTATTCCTCTATAGTCACAGTCCCTATGCACCATATGCTACATGGGACATACTCCTAAAATAAAATTGCCCCATTGATGACTGTTAGGTATAAAATGTCAACTTTTGATATCAAATGAAAGTTCCACACATAAATAGTAATAACCATTCTCAGAGTATATGTTTTCCCATACACACTTCCAAAAAAAAGTTAAACAAAGAGCAATTTTGCATTCAAGCAGCTACTGTAATGAATTACTATAGATATTTATCTGAATTCTACCTTTTTCTTTCAATTTATTTTGTAGATCTCAGGAGCAATACCACTGAGAAGAAAGGACAACGAAATGCAGAACATATCTCGTATATCTTCTCTAGGCATATAAAATATAAATGCATCCATGTGTGAACTTATATGTATATCTATATTAGTATCTAAATTTGTATCTCAGTATGTATATGTGCATTTATATGTGTTCACATGGTTGCATATATTTATTTTACAAATCAACTCTTCTTAGCACTATATATTTTAAATATTGACGACTATAGCCATGATCTCTTGCAGCTCCAAAATCTATGCTCTTAAGACATGTTTAGCACGAAATTTAAAAATAAGAATAAAATCAGCAATAAGACTTACCATATTAGGTCGATTATAAATGAGAACTCTGCGTGGCTTATGTTCTCCCATCCTCATGGCTGCTTCTAAAAGGGGTACATATTCTACCCTTCTCCCAGGCTCTATTCCAAAGGATGCTGTTACAACCACTTTGGGCTAAAATAAAAAAATAATTATAATTAGTTAAAATATCTGCTACATTTACTTTCAAGAATTAAGGGCAAAAATAAGATACTCATAATGGAAATGTTATATGTCTAAAAATGTATACTTCCACTCACTACTTGAAAGCTCTCAAAAAAAACCTTTAATTTTCACAAATCCTTATGTATGGCTACACAAATTTAATTTACCTGCCAAAAATGGTAGGCCTTTCTAATGCCTTTAATGACTTCATAAGGCCTACATTTAAAAAAAAAGACTCATTGTCATAAAAAAGCTTTTGTATTTTGAAAAGGTAGATGCAAAATGCATTAACTTTTTTAAATATAGGAAAGACTAAATTTAAAAATATACAAATTCCCCCTCAACAAATAGTTCCCTAGATTTGCTTTCCAAAATTCTGCTTCCAAAGAAAATGATAAATAAAGATTATCAGAGAAAATTATTAATCCAATTAATTACATATTTAAAATGTGGTACTTCAATAAATACTGATGATGCTTTGTATATATTAAAGAAAAGTTCCAAAATTGGTTTACAAAAATTCTAGGGTAAAAAAATGAAATACATCAAACACTTAAAAAACGGACTGCTTTTCTGACTGCCTAAAATTTAAATATAGTTCACTTGTCAATAGCCATAGTACTTTGAATAGCTGATAAAATGTAACTGGTCTCTATAATTTAGCCAGATAACATTTCTTAAGCAATTCAAAATGATAAACAAATTATTATAATTTACACCTAGGAAAAAATAGTATACATAAAAGGTTTGAAGTCAAAATGTGATTCATCCCCTAGGAATGAAATTTTTCCTGAGATTTATCTCCACACTGCTTTCTTTTACTGAGGCAAAGCCCACATGTGTAAACTATTTTCTTTTTTTTACTGGAATAAATCATTCATAAGTTAGGATAGAGACAATAAGCATCCAGCCTAAGAAAATGTTATAGGTAGAGTTGTATCCTACTTTGCTGTAAAAAAGGAACATTCTCTTTTTCTTTTCAAAAAGTCACTAAGCTAGGTCTTAGGTAACTGCCTTAGACTAAGAAGTGAGCAAGTCAGGATACATATTCCACTATACTAATACAGTGTTAAAAATTATTGTTGAATGTATTATATTATACTATGCATTGCATTATAATATAGTGTTTAATAATAAACAAACAAATGAATGAATGAATGAATGATACTTACCAAAAGAAGTTGAGTAGAAAGAGCTTTGGTTTCCATGTCAGAAAGATGTGGGCTCAAGCCCCACTTCTGACACATACTAATTGTGTGACTCAGGCAGATTCCCTAGGCATCTCTCTAAGGCCAGAAATTATAAACTAGATGCAGATCTGGAGGGAATTTTCTTATTAGTAAGCTCCCCATACCAATTAAATCACAAATCTGGGCATAATAAAATAGAATATATTTAGGACTTTAAGACTGAAAGAATATTTATCATATATCATGAAATGAACCTCGCAGAAACACTTTGAAATAGGTTCTCAAGTTTTTATTATTTTCAATGAACAGAAGAGGAAGCTATACTTCAGAAATGTTAAATGACGTGTCCAGGGTCACATGACTAGCAAACAAGGTGGCAGAATTAGAACCCAAACCTTCTTGACTCCAAGTCCAACATTCTCCCTACCCCGTCATTTATTCTTCCTCTCTTCAATTTAATTTCATTCAACAAACATTTAGTAGGATCCCATTACATTCAAGACACTGTGTGACATGCCAGAGAATTAAGATGGAAATAATAAGAGAGTTCCTGCTTTCAAGAAGCTTACAGTCCAAAATTGTGCCGGGAAGACAATGACACAGAAATAAATACAAAGCAGGATGTGGGATTATAGGAGAGGTAGAAGCGCTTTGTCACAGGGGTTCTTAACCTTGGGTCCATGAATTTTAAAAACATAGATTTTTTTAAAAATAACTATTTCAATGTAATTGGTTTTCTTTCTAATCCTATGTACTTGATTTCATGCATTTAAAAACACTATTCTAAGACTGGGTCCTTGGGCTTCACTGAACTGCCAAAGGGCTTTGTGAAACAGAAAAGATTAAGAAGTCTTGCAACTATGGGAATTTGAAGAATGGGGGGATCAATGCTGGCTCAAGGAAGAAAAAGGGGATTAGGGAGGGCTATAGGGAGGAGATGGTATTTGAGTAATGTCATTGGTAGGATAGGCAGGATAAACAATAAGCAGATGTGGGAAGAGGCACCTGGAAGTAAGAGAAAAAGCATAACCAAAGGTAGAGAGATAAGAGAGGGATGTGTCTGTGGAATGGCGGTTAGTCGGATTTTCTAGAACCTAACTTCCCTCAAGATACAGTGATTTAAACTAAAATTTATTTTCTATGTCAGGGGTAGCTAGGTGGCACAGTGGATAGAGAGCCGACCCTGGAGTCAGGAGGACCTGAGTTCAAATCCAGCCTCGGACATTTCACACTTACTAGCTGTGTGACCCTGGGCAAGTCACTTAATCCTGACTGTCTTGCAAATACGCAAATACACACACACACACATACACATATATAGATACACACACATATACATGTGTGTATGCCTTAGTAGCTTAATAGAAATGGGTTTCTTTATTCACTTAGTCATTTTAAAATCACTTTTTTCCTCCAACCCACTGAAATCATTTTTAAAAATCCTCTTTTGAGGCCCCTTCTAGCTCCAAAACTACAAAGCTATGTACTGAATTTTTTAATACCTAATCAAGTTTCTCCTGGCATTTGGGCTGGCTACTTTCAAACGAAATGGCCAATCTATGCATCTGCTAACACAATATTGCTAAGCTAATCTCATACATAATAAAGCCAAATTCTTTAAATCTATTATTAATTACTATAACTACTGCATATTCCAGATTCAGTGACTGTTCCCTCCACCACCATCCCTGCCAAAAAAAAAAAGGATAAAAGATAAAAGGCTGCCTATACCTGAAAGGTTATTGAAATTGAATCTGATGTAAGCCTATCAATGTTCTGTCATTAGTATCTATTTCCTTCTGATACTGCTGAGTCAATGAACTTAAACTAATGAAATGCTGTTTTTCAAACAGGAGGTGAAACCCTTCCCTGCTCCCTATTAACTGGTACCTCAATAAAAACCACGAGTGGACGAAATGCACAATCAATCATATCCTAACACACTCACCTCCTGTTTATTCACACTAATAAAAGGATTCAAGGTTAAATTGCTTCCCACCTCTCTCAACATGTCCTTCCTCTGTCTCTCTTCTACGTAGATGATTCTCAAAGCTATGCTCCCTTTCTCACATCCCTGTTGACTTTCTGGATATTTCTAACTGACTGTTCTCCCCAACCCCACCCCTCATCTTAAACCTCAAATTTGATATGTCTAAAAGTGAACTCAGAATTTTGCCCTTCAAACTAACCCTCACCCCTGACTTCCACATTTCCATGAATGGTACACTATAGTCTCAGTCAGTATGCCAGGGAGTCTTAGAATAATCTTGAAAGTTCCTTCTTCCTTGACTACTATAGCCAATAAATTATCAAAACTTTTCAGTGATGTTTATGTTTTTCATATGCCTCTCTTCCGTTTAATTCTGTTTATTGCAGCACTAGTTATCAGCTGAGACTTGGAATATTCTACTATCTTCCTAACTGGTCTTCCTGTCTCCAGGCCAATCTTACCTTCCAGAATCATCATTTTTCTAAAACTTGACTCTCCATATCATCTTTTATTTCCATGATTTTGTCCAGGCTACCTTCATTCTGGGAATTCCTTCTCCCTCACTTGTGCCTATTAGAATCCCTAGCGCATTCCAAACTGTAACCTCTTACATGAAGCCTTTCCTGAACCCGTTAGCTATTAGCACTTTTCCCCTCCCAAAATTACTCACACAGCCACCATAGCTTAGATCCTCATAAATTCACCGCTACAATACTGCAAAACCCTCCTAATTGGTTTCCCTCGCTCAAGCCTATCATCTCTCAAATACATGTTCAACACAGTTACCAAAGTGATTTCCCTAAGGCACAGCACATCCAGTGATGTCATTTCAAGTCGAGTAGCTCCCTAATTACCTATTATGGGAAGCTAGGTAGCTCAGTGGATAGTGCACCGGGCTGGGAATCAAGAAGACTCATCTTCCTGAGTTCAAATTTGGCCTCAGACATTTCCCTGGGCAAGTCACTTAACCTTGCTTGCCTCAATTTCCTCATGTATAAAATGAGCTAGAGAAGAAAATGGCAAACCACTCCAGGATATTTGCCAAAAAAACTCCAAATGGCATCACAAAGAGTCAGACATAACTGAAAAACAACTGAACATCAGCAGCATTACCTATTATAGGCTCAACTATAAACTCCTCAATTTGGCATTTAAAGTCCTCTACAATTTGCTCCTGTATTCTCTTACAAGCTTATTACAACATCACTCAACTTCACTATTTACAATACAGGCAAACAACTTTTTTACTGATCCTCACACACAACAATAGAATCCATCTCCGTTCTCAGTCTGTCAATAAACATTTATTAAGCACCTACCATGTACCAGGCATTGTGCTAAAGTGCTGGGGATACAAAGAAAGACAAAAGATAACCTCTGTCCTCAAGGGGCACATAATCTAATTCCCCAGGCCTTTGCACAGGCTGTCACCCAAACTGGCCTCTTAGAATTCCCTTCTTCTTTCAAAGCTTATCGCAAATGAGGCCTTGCCTATCACCATCGGGTCTCCCCACAAAATCCACTTTGTATGCATTTCACTTATATTTGTACATAACTATCTGTGCATATGTTGTCTTCCCAATAGAATGTAAGCTCCTTGAGGGCACAAATGGTTTCATTTTTCATGCACAGAGCACACATTTTTTTCTTATATGCCTCTTCTAGTGCCCAACACACGCTACATACTTTAAAAAGATTGTTTGAATGACTGAATACTTTTGTCTACACACTGTACACAGTAGAATGTAATTTCTTTGTGGGTAGGGACCATCCTTGCAACCTCCTCGGTGCCCAGGACGCTGCTTGCCCCATAGGAAGAGGGATTGGACGAGATTTCCCTGGTCTAGTGGGCTCCTAGTGAGGAACTCCGTCAATCGACACAGTTGGGCGTCTTCTCTGCTATTTATAGTCTTCCAAAGTTGCTTAGAGGACTAAGAGGGTAAGCAACTTGCCTAGGGTCACACAACCAAGATGTGTCATGGGCTGGTCTTCCTGACTCTTCAGCTCAGATCTCTATACCATGCCACCTTCTGCAGTAATTAATAAAGGCTCATGTACTTGATTTGGATTCACTCACAGCTAAAATAGCCTATGCTATTCAACCTTATGAAAAACTCAACCTTTTCCCCAAACAAAAAAGCCTTACCTTTACATGATCAATACGAGTGCTCAGCTCCTTAGAGGCAAAGCCCCCAAAGATGAGGCTGTGAATGGCCCCTATCCTCGCACATGCCAGCATGGTGTACATTGCCTGTGGTATCATGGGCATATAGATCACCACAGTATCTCCCTTTTGCACACCATGCTTCACCAAGACACCAGCCAGCTTGGAAACCTGAAGAAAGAAAATTGTGAAGCAATGAAAAAGCTATTTTTATGCATTATTTACTTAACTATTCAACTGAAGAGGCTTCTGCCTAGGACGCTTTCACTGAATTAAGATCTATGTAATCACCTGTAGGATTTCTAACTAACCCCATACTATTATGGGATAAATGGTTGTTCGCTATATTTGGGTGTGAATAATTATCTCTCTTTTTAATCAAAAATCTTCACGCACTGATCCAGACAAGTCACATATCTGACCACATCCTCAAGTCATACTGATGGGTCAGGCACAGAAAGTATAAGAGTAGAAAATAGTGAAAGAGATACAGGTCACGAAGACATGACGTAGTCCTGAGCCTAGAACTCAACACCACTAATGCAGACACAGAGATCACATTCCATTTCTTCTCATTACCTCATTCACAAATAGGAAAAGGGACTATGATATTCCTTCCTTAGAACTTTCACATTATGATTATGAATGGACCAGGGATTTCCCTGATTAGATTATAAGCTCCATGAAGATGGGGACTGTCCTTTGCCTCTTTTTGTATTCCCAGCACATAGTAGGTCTGCCACATAGTAGGTATTTGATAAATGCTAACTGATTGATAAGCAGACCAGAGTTGAGCTATATAGCATAAATGTATTCTGTACTTAAAGGAGCCACCTCATGGTTCTCAAACCTTTCTGACTGACCTCTGATCATTGATAATTTATTTCCATCTATGGCTATAAAAAGAAATCCCTTGACTCACAATAATTTTGGTGAACAGTTGAACATGGAAATGTATGAACGGAATGGAATGTGATTACGCTTCAAGAAATGATGAAAGGGATGGTTTCAGAGAAACCCAGAAATGCTTGCATGAAGTGATACAGAATGAAATGAGAAGAACAAGGAGAAACCATATATGTATGTATGTGTATATATATAACACACACACATATGCATATGTGTATATACACATGTACATGCATGTGTATATGGGTATATATATGTATATATAACATACATGCATATATACACCCATACACATACCCATATCTATGTGTGTGTGTGTGTGTGTGTATATATATACATACACACATGTAAAGAAGTATAATTTTGAAATGAATGCAATGAATCCCCCATCATTCCAGAGATCCAATGATGTGAAACATGCTACCCCATCCTGATAGAAAGTCAATGGTCTCATGGTGTAGAACAAGACATATTTTTGGTTTTTTTGGACATAGCCAATGCAGGAATTTGTTTTGCTTGACTATTAATATTTGTTACAAACAAGGGTTTTGTTTTTCTTTTTTCCACTGGGGGGGAGGAGATTATGGCAAGTCAAGAAAATACATTTTTGTTCATTAAAAATATTTGACAAGAAAGAAGAGTAAAAATTACACAGGATCATATAATTAGAGCTTGAAAGGCCCTTGGCCATCATCTAGTCCAACATCATTTAAGAGATGACAAAACTAAAGTCCAAAGTGGAAAACTAGCTTAATTAAAGGTCACACAGATTGTAATTAATATATGTCATATTTCAGCCCAAGCCCTGCGATTCTAAATCTAGAAACCATTCCAGTGGTCTATACCGCTTAAATCATTAGTTCATGATGGGGGTTCGGGGAGACAAATATATAGTCAGATTATACCTATTAATCCCGTAAGAAAGCAACTTGAGCCCCTAATTAAGGAGATAATTTCCAATTTCTTTTTAAACTGAAATCTATAAGAGAGGACGAGCAGGGACGAGTTTCTGAAGCTAAATGAAACCCCAGCGAGGTTCTTGGGCTGCACAAAACAGAAATGGGAAAGAAAAATCTAGCTGTCACTATCAGCTCAATGCTTAGAGCATCTATTATGACAGCATGATGAAAGAAAAGGAAAGGGCAGCATCATCACAGCTGTTTCCAGGGGCCATTCTGCCTGCTTGATTTCTTCCCAGACCAATCATTCCAAAAGGAAAGAAAATGACATTATTCCTTATGGAGAATCAGGCAATCATTCTCCCAAATAGTCCTCTCTATGGAGTTTTTTCAAAAGGAATAGTTTCCTTTTAAAAAATTCTTTTGGTTTTATATCCCCTTACGTTCCCCACATCTCCCTTACTTTCCTCTCCTCAGTTATGCCTTATGGCTGAAGGTAGGCACAGTAGGGAGTGACAGACCTGGAGGCAAGATGACCCATGTTCAAATTCAGCCTAAGACACTTACTAGCTATTCACATTGGGCAAGTTATTTAATCTCTATCAGTCTCAGTTTCCTCATCTAGAAAATGGGGAAAATAATAACTCCTGTCTCCCAGGGTTATTGTGGGGATCAAACGAGAAAATATATATAAAGTGACATGCAAACGATAGCCTGTATTATTATAACAGAATAAAAAGTGGGAAAACACACTTCAAGAAAACTGTCACATAAACTATGGCAAACATTGTATGCAAAGTTACACATCTATAATCCCCTCATTCTGCAAAGAGGGGAAATAAGAACATTAGAAGGGAATACTTTGTAAACATACTAAATACGCATAAAAACTTTAATGGTTGTATCATATATAGGCAGCTAGGTAGTTTAGCAGATAGAGCCTTGGGCCTGAAGTCAGAAAGGCCTGAGTTCATATTTGGCCTCAAATATTTACTAGCTATGTGGGCAAATCACTTAACCTCTTCCTGCTCCAATTTCCTCAACTGTTAAATAGGGATAATAATAGCACCTACTTCCGAGCCTTATGGTGAGGATCAAAGGAGATAATATTTGTAAAGTACTTTGCACAGTGCCTGGAACATAGTGGGCCTCATACATACATAAATGTTAGCTGTCATTATTGCCATCATCAGTATCATCATCCTAATCAGAGGTTCCCAAACTTATTTGGCCTACCCACACTCATTTCAAAAAAAAAAAAGAAAAAGAAAAATTAGTCAGCGCACCACTGGAAATCTACTTTCTTTAATCCTTTAACTTTTTTTAAAATTTGCATGATTTTGAAAAAATGTAATTTTTTAAAACGATGCATCTTAAATTTACTAATTTATTTTAAATTTGTGACTTTTTTCCCTGAATTGAAATTTTGATGATGCAACACTGTGTCATGTAACCAAACAAGTCATTATATGCACATACTCTTGCAGATGAATGCTGGACTTCCTGACAATGTGCAACAAACTCACCTGTAAACACTTGCTTTTTAAGACCTGTTGGCAGAGTTTACCATTAATTGGTTACAACTTGCATTTTGTGTGTTTATTTGAAAAATAAACCCTTACCTGAGTCTCTTCTGCCCAAAGGAAGGTAAATTTTGATGGCTGAAAGCTGCCTACTTGAGGTTTACTGGCGAGATTTCTTTCTCAAAGACCAAACCTTAAACCCACTTTACTCTGGAGCTCATAGATTGGACAATAGGCCCCTGCCCAAGCACCACTTAATGGTAATTTTTTGGGCCCTCCTGGCTCAGAATGAATGTAAATAGTAACTGTTTCTCTTTTGGGCGGCAACCCTGAGGGTCGTTTCCTCCCAGTTTGATTTTTTTCTATTTTTTCTTTTCTTTCTTTGATTTAAGGGGCCATCCCTGGACTCACTTCTTAAAAAGGCCTATTCACTGAATGGGCATTATCTCACTCAAAGTGAGAAGCTACAAAGACCTTAGCTTGAAAGGGCCAGAATCTCCCATTGCATCCGGGGCCATCTCTAGTTGTCCTGATGGATATCTGGTCACTGGACCCACTTGACTCTGGAGGAGAAAATGAGGCCGGTGACTTTGCAAAGCCCTCCCCTCACTCAAATTAAAGCCAATTGCAAGTCATGTCATCATCTCCCTGATGTCATAGTCTTCTTTGAGACCGAAGGACAAACACTACAACACAAGACAATCACTACAACTTTAACTCTGTTACACAACAGATGAAACATGTATGAACGGTTGTTCAAAATTTTCTTATATTCTCTTCTTGCCTTATGTTTCCACTGCCCCTTTATTTTTATTCAGTGCTCCCCCATCAATTGCACCAGAGGCTACTACCACCCTCCTGGAACATTTCAGTGCCCCCAGGGGGCAGTATCACCCACTTTGGGAACCTATGATCCCAATGGAAAAATGCTAATAACAAGCCTTCCCATTAACTCAATTCTCATTCTTATCTATATATTAAAATTGCATTTCCACTTACTTATTTTTTTTAAACTGGGCCCAGACCAACATATGATATCATTGATATGCAAAACTTCCATATAAATACCTTCTTCCACCAAAGAAGATGAACTGTCCTGAAACTTCTATTCTTAATAGAGTTTCCTGAAGCACTGAAACTTTATAAGACTTGCCTAGTGTCATAAAATCAGTATGTGTTGATTCAGGTCTCCCCGACTCCATGGCTGGTCCTTTATCCTATATCCCGTGCTTCATATATAGTCACATTTTGCTTTCTATCTATGTCATTCCACATGAAAGAAAAGTTATTTGCTAACACTAATAGGTACTAGTAACTCTTCCTCCCTTCTCTACCTAAAAAATAGTACATTGTGTATATGTATATGTGTACATATATTATATATATGTGTATATATGTGTATGTATGTATATATATACACATACATACATACACATATTATTATGTGTACATGCTTTTTTCTACCCAGTGAACATAAGCTTCTTGAGGGCAAAGACTATTTCCTTTATGTTTTTGTATCTGAATTGTCCAGCATGATGCCTGGCACACAGTACACACTTAGTAAAGGCTTATTTGTTTGATTATTTATTTAGTATTTTATTTTTCCCCAAATATATGTAAATACAATTTTTAACATCTATTTTTTAAAATTCTGACTTCTAAATTCTCTCTGTCCCTCCCCTCCACCCTCACTGGGAATTCAAGCATAGATTCGATATAGGTTATACATGTGCAATCAAGCAAAACACATTTCCATATTAGTCATGTTGTAAAAGAAAACATACCTCCCCCCCAAAAAAAAGAAAAAATAAAGAAAATTTTACAAATTATGCTTTGGTCT